TGTGCGCCAACCATTAATGTATTTTATTTGTTCATTTTTTTTATATAATCGATTCTTGCCTTCAAGAATCGATTCACTAGATCACAAAAATTAGAATCACAATGCATCGATTTGACGATTATTTTGCACACCCTTATTTAATATAGTTTCCCTCTCAGGAGCGGGTAAAGGGTTGTACATGTGCATTTTTTATGCATTAAGCTTAATATGCCAAGCTTCCTGCATTACAGACTAATTTCCTAATCATGTATTCGAACATGTCAATCATCTTTTCCTTCTGTTAATAGATTTTTTTGTAAACAATGGATTTAATAATTCTATTTTATTAATCTCACATTGGAGAAATTTACCTCTGTGTTTAATTCATCCCCTTGGGGAGCAGGGGCAGTGTGGGGTTAAAGGTCTTGCTCAGGGACCCAGAGTGCAGGCTGTGGGGTACTTCAAACCTTCTGAAAGCACAAGCGCACTGCTATAACCACTAGGCCAACACTAGGCTCATTTCAGCATGAAGATGTTAAACTCTCAAGAATTGAGCTGCATCTCAGTAAGGTTTATCCTTAAAAAGCATATTCCATAAAATTAATTTGAACTTGAAAGGGGTTTAATGTGTTGTATTTATGGCTTACAGCGAATGAACACCCAACATTTAGTTACAATAAAAAAAAAGGACCAGTAAACCTTTTTTTTTTTAATGCAGAAATCTGTGGAGTTAATGGTTGTGTAGCAGACAGTTACTGACATCCTTTCCAGGATGGTAGGCGATACAAATGGCTGTTCAGGGTGCTGGACCCAAGTTTATTAATGGAATGTTAGGTGAAAGAAAAAAATGCAGACAAGGATAAGCAGAGCCTTGAGAGTATATAAGGCCAACTTGATCGTTTGGGGCGAGTTAACCTTGTCCAAGCTCAGCAGCAGCTGGTGTAGATGTTTTAAAAACACATGGGTTACAACTGGAACCTTCCTTCTGTTAAACCACTTTACAAAATATATTTGATGATTCTGGTGTCCAAAACCTTTACAGCCATCTGCCAGGACAATTCAGTCTTTCATAAAAGATGGAATGATTGAAGATGTTCATTTTCTGAGAATCTAATTTTTACTTCATAAAGCCGTAATTATAAGAACTTACAAAAACATCCTGGATATATCACTATGTGATGATTTTATATCATGAGTGTAATGGTCTGAAAGAAATTCAATAAATCCATTTACTCTTTAGAGAAATCATTAATCAAAAGGAACATCAGTGATGGGTTAATCAAGCATCTTGAAGAGTTTCAACACATTGCCAAACTGTATTGATACTGTCTCTCAGAATACTGACACCTGCTGGACCTTTAAAGACACTACAGGCTGCTTATTTTACAGACTTAATTGATTTGATGACCTAGTACAATAATATAATTTAAATTATTGTAGGTTATATTGTATTATTTTATATCTAGGTTTAAATTGAAAATATCTTTTATGTTTTTAGATGCAGCATATAAATAATGTAAACATATATATTGAGAACATTTAGGGGAATATGAAAGGATGCTTGTGGACTAGGTTTTTAAATCATAATTTTAAAACAATAAGTACAGTAAAAACAGTAAATAAACTAAGAGTCAATTTCAAATTAACTTTAATTCATATAAGTTGAGTGATAACTACAAGGAATAGTCTGACACAATGAGAACATTAAAATAAAAATGCAACTGTTGAGACGTTTCCATTCCTTTCAGGCTGCTCCAAAATTCTTGATAATTTTAATGATGAACCGCAAAAGATATTACTTTTTTTTTAACAGATGTATCACATTGACAGATGCATTTTTAAACAGATTAGTGTGTCAGTCAGAAACAATTCCTGTATTGGTCACATGACTTTCTTGAAACAAAACGCTAATAAACGATAGTGTTTTCCTCTATGGGGTCGACGCATTCACCGACACATTGGTGTTGCTGGACACATCATTAATGAACATCTGGTTCTGTTTAGTTTAACTAAAAAGAACCCTGAAACCTTTCGAGAGATGTACCTGAGATGCTGAGGGGTCAGGAAGAGCAGCATCACAAATTGACTTTGTGTTATTGTTTAATGAGTGTTTATAGAAACCCCTAATCAACTTTTTCAGAGGGTGCTGGAAAATTCCCAAATGTTTTTAACTCCAATCTTATTTTCTTCTGTGCACATGCTGTTAAAATCCACCCTTTCTGTAGCTGACTCTAACTTTAATGGTACAAGTATTGATACTTAAAGCACTTATGAATGAGAGGACTACATTTAGATGGTTAAGGTACTTTTATTGTTGTCTGTGCAGCAGAAACAATTCAGATGAGTGAAAAGGAGAAGATTCACTCAAGACTGAGAGGCGCATTTGCAAATAACTATTAGCAAGCATGGATTTATGCCCCCCTCAAACTAAGAGAATCAACTGAAGATATATATCAGAGGGAGGAGTTTAAAAAGCTTTGCTTTTATCCCACAATAACCGTTTCCTCATCTGGGAACTCATAGTAGGGGACCTCAAGGTTGAGTGGAGCAGGTCCCTTCCTTATTCGTCCAGAAGCATCGTAGTGTGAGCCGTGGCACGGACAATAGTAGCCACCGTATTCTCCTGCATTAGCAATGGGCACACAGCCAAGATGGGTGCACACGCCGAGAACGATGACCCACTTGGGGTTGAGCACTCTATCTTTGTCATGCTGGGGGTCGCGCAGCTCTCCCAGATTCACGTTAGCCTCTGCTGCGATTTCCTTCTCTGTGCGGTGACGTACGAACAGGGGCTTCCCTCTCCACTTGAAGGTCATGTTTTTGCCTTCTGGGATGTCGCCAAGCTTGATCTCGATCTTGGATAAGGCCAGAACATCAGCTGACGCGCTCATAGAGGAGATAAACTGGGTGACCACCGTCTTGGCTGAATACACGGCGATCACAGTGGTAGCTCCAGTCACCAGGTAGGAAAAGGTCCTCCTGGCCTCACTGCTCTCCTGGGAGGACTTCTGGGGATCCAAGACCTCGGGCCGACGGTAGTCAGAGAAGTCCGGAATCTTGATGTCTGTGTGGGCATGGCGGGATCCGGCTGGAGCTGGTTAAAGACAGAGTTATAATAGTGATGCAGTTTTCCGATTTCATTTTTGATGATTATTATTAAACATCCCAGTCACATTAGAAATGGAAAAAAAATTCTTCAGCTATGGTGAAAGAAAATAACTTAAATACAACTATAATCGTCTGATGACCACATTTGGTAGATAATTCACCAATGTTTTGCCCAATACTTGTGTGTCACAACTGCCAATGAGACTTTTTATAATTGTATTTCGAAAATTGCTCCAAATTAGTGAAAAACTACTTGTAGTGTCAACAGATTCTCATAATTCAGCCGTTTATTACTAATAATTATTAGCCTCTTTGACCTGTATGATTTTTTCATTCGTCAAAACTGTTTATTACCTCTTTTTTGTTTTAACGAATCAAATTATTCAAAGATTAATTCTTTTAACTTATTACATGACTTCTGGAAAAAAATATAATATAATATATATTATATAATATTATATAATATAAAAATAGTGAAGATAACTGTTAACAAAATGTTAAAAAAAAAGCCTTTTAAAGATGAAATTACAACACTGATTTACAGATCTACATGATCAAAATGATATAACCAGCCAGTGTAGCATAAATGCATACTAGTCGTTTTTTTAAGTTACAGACTGACACCTTTTCTCTTGTTTAAGGTCAACAAGAGAAGGTCAAATTACAAATTGATCTGCAACTCAAATACTAGTAAGTTAAACATATTTTCACATATACAGCATGGACAATTTCACATTAAGCATCAATAAAAAGGGGACATTGAGATTGTAGTAGTTTCTTATTTTTGGTTTTAAGTCAAATTTGGGATGGGAAATCCTGCATATATAATGATAATAAGATACATTAAAAAGGAAGAAGATAACTTTATTCTGAAGTCATTTTCCCCCCTCATGTTCAAAGGATTTATTCACTCATGCCACACATTTCCTTAAGGGAAAAAGACAATATTCTACTAGCTGAATTCAGGTGGTATTTATTATATTACATTAAAATAAATGTTTAGTTTACACATTTTACAAGTTTACAGACCGCAAAAATCTGTTTACGTTTCTGAAGCTTGTATGTTACGTCACTAAGCTAGTTAGCAACCCGGTGGCTAACGTTACAGCTCATCCTTACCAGCAGCAGGTAGAAACTCTTTGGCTCCAGGGAACACCAGGCTTTTAACACCGTGTTTAGTCGCTTGAAAGTAGGGGGAAAAGACCCCTGACCGAAGCACGGAGGACATCATCTTTACCCCAAAATAAAAGAAAACCTCAACCCCACAGTTGGGGACGCGACCTTGCGTCTAGCTTCACCGGACTTGTCTGGTCTGCCTTCGCGAAAATACTATCTTATACGTAACAGTGATGTTACATGTTTGACAAAAAATGTCCTCTACTCTTATCGACCCATAAATAATCAGTTTTCCCAAAAAATTATTGGGATAAACATTTTTATACCCGAAATAAAATACTTTTATTATTTCACCTTGATTTTTTTATGTTAAAATGCGCATTTAGGTCAGGCTTTTCTGGAGGCCAACTAAATCATGGGTCCCTGTGATGTAAACAAGGGTCCTTGAACAAAATATACGGAGATTACCCGCACAATGGTAACCTGAGCTAAAATAAGAAAATGAAAATACCAAAAAGGAAGCTATTTCTTCTAATCATTTTTGCATATGTGGCCTTTTCGCTCTATGCCGCTTATAATGTGTTCTTTAGCAACAAAGTAATTTCCCGCGTTCACCGGGTGGTGGTGAAGAAAGACAGCATCGCACCAGCGGGTAATTCCTACAAACACAGGCTTTGTGGTCGGATGCGTAATAAAGGCTTCCCAAAAATGTCAGTCTGTAGGTGAAAAGATGATGCCGTGTTTTGTCTTTAGGTGGTGTCAGAGATGGCGGGGCCCCTTTTGTAGCAAATGAGTGGAATCCGTGGGAGGATGAGGAGGTGGAGTACAATTCAGCTTTAAACAAGAAGAGACAGGCTTTCAAGCAGTACATGGGTCGAATTGACAGAAATAAACCCAAAAGTTACAAGATTCAAATCTGGGGGAAAGCTGCAATAGGTAGGCCACTTTATATATATTACACATACTGCATTTTATATATATGCTACACTTTTATTTATATATATATATATATATTAGGGGTGGAACGGTTCACAAAATCCACGGTTCGGTTCGGTTCACGGTTTTCGGTTTGGTTCGGTATATGTTGATTGTTACACCGAAATCCCATAAAAATTAATGGAAAAAATCCCCAAAAATGTATGAATTGTAATTATTTTTAATGATCCACGGAAACCCTGGATCATTTCCGCATGTTTTGCTGCTTTGAATTTAATCATCTCGCGCATGCCCTCTACGATCTCCAATCATCTCGCGCATGGCCTTTACGATTTCCAAGGAACTCAGAGCGGAGCGGACGGGAGCCACAGCGGACGCTGTAGGCTTTGCTTTGCGCAGGTGGTCTGGAGCGAAGCGCTGATGGAGTATGTGGGATTTCGGGGTTAGCATGACATGTTGATCATGTTGCTGTTAGCATAAACAAAACGTGTTGCACAATGCTTGCACTCTGTTGCACTTTTATCCACAACTTTCTTTCCACCGTCATCGTAGGTCACTCTAAATGCAAAGCGGTCCCATACAGCTGACCTATAAAGTGCTGCTGGCGCGTCTTTCAACTCTTGTTCTTTCCCACTCGCCATACCCACACAATTCTCCACAACAACTGATTTTTTTCTGCTACACCCAGGCCGTTTCTCAATATGCGTTCTTGAGCGTTCTCGTGTGCTCGTGTACTCGTGACACGTCATCAGCCTCAGCACGAGTACCGTTCCAATTCTCGAGAACGCACCAAATCCCCGGATGTTGTTCTCGCCCCGCCCTCTTTATCGAGCATGCATCAGAGCAGACTTGTGCGTTCTTCAGACTGACTGCTTCCCCAGAATGCCCTGCGGCCGCAGCTTGATTCGAGACAGCGCTAGCAGTGTTAAGTTAAACATTCCCTTTTCTCCTGCTGTTGTTCTTCAAAAGTACGTTTTGAAATCGTTTGAGGCGATAACATTATACATTTAAGCCTCCCTGTGTGGCCTGTTTACAGATTTAGTGCGAAATAAAAAAAAAAAAAGTCCGACGTTGAGCAGACCAGAGTGACTAGCAGACCTCCAAGGGTAACCGCAGCCAGGACTAATGTTACCCCGTCTGTAGTGCACTTCTCTCGGTCTAGTTATGTGTGAACTACCGCTCGTTCTGACTGCAGTTTTTTGCGGTTCAGTCATTTTTTAAAATGTTTTTTAAGCTTTAGAAATTAAAAATATGGTTTTCAAAATGTTTTGTGTAGGGAATACATAGTTTTGACTGTTAAAGAAATGCTAAAGATCGTTGCATGTGATGACGTCACGAGTACGCTTCTGTTCCAGTACACGTGCTTGCGTGCCCGCGTTCTCGCCAAGTCCGATCTTCCTGCATTCTCGCCAAGAACGGACTTGACGAGAACGCGAGTACGTACTCGCGTTCTCATGAATTGAGAAACGGCCCCGGCTACGCGGCTTCGCTTCTTCTTCTTCTTCTTGTTTACTACTGGTGGTTGACTTTGGTCGCAGTACCGCCACCTTCTGCTCTGGAGTGTAAACGCTTCGCCTATGAGAAAAAGGACCAGCGCATGAACCGAACCCAACACACGCGAACCGAACCAAGACAGTCGAACCGAACGGTTTGGACGGTTTTCATAAACCGTTCCATCCCTAACATATATATATATATATATATATATATATATATATATATATATATATATATATATATATATATGCATTTGTTTGTGTGCCTATGTATAGGTATGTGTTTTGATTTTGGAGGTGCCTGCCACTTGGTGAGTACGGTTAGTTGTTTTACTGTAGTAAAGGCTATATGGCAGGAGTTACCAACCTTTTTAATTCTGAGGGCCACTTCAAGGGTACTGAGTTATAGGAAGGGTTACCAATACTGACCCCTGGACTGCAAGGGTCAGCGTTCACCTAAACTTTGTACATTATAATAAAATTTCAAACCTAGCCAACTGGCTGTTATATTTTTAGAAGACTTTGAGGACACCCCATGTGGTCCTTGCACCGCCCCTTGGGTCACGTTGGTGACCCCCGCTATATGGGGTTAGTTGAGTTCAGCTCACGAGGTAAGTTGTGAAACTTTGGCGTCATATGTCGCCATAGCTGGTTGCAACTTGTTTGTACACACCTGGTGGCGACTTGTGTCGCTACACCTAAACGAGACTGGCGTCGCAACACCTGGTGACGAATGGTGTTGCCATAGTTTTTGGTGATTATCGTCATCGGGATTACTTCAAGACAAAGGCATGTGCAGTCCAAAAGTTTTTCAAGCAATTTTAGATCTTTAAACACACTGTATCCCTATTGTCAAGTTAATATATGCCTTATTACTACAAAAAGGAAGGCTTTCATTTTTAAATATTCAGTATAGTTTTTTGTTTTCTAAGCTGGTCAAGTTTGGGTCATAAAGTTGAGCCATGTGCTGCAGGTCTTATCTGTGTATAATTGAGAGAAACCTAGTTACTTAAAAAACAATGAAAGAGGAGTAGTAAATTAATTTGTTTTAGTAAATTTAGTCATCTCTTACCACTATGACAATAGCTACACAAAATATTGTGAGCAAATTTGTAGTCAATATCATTAACATCTACTTGACAGCTTTTAATAATCAAAAAACATTGGTGGTCTATATGTTAGGAACTTGAGCTTTTGTTTTAAAGCATAATAAATGTTGTGTTACATTTTCCTCAGGGCTGTACCTTTGGGAACATATTTTAGAAGGACCCCTTAACCCAACTGACAAAGTAGCACAGTGGAGGGAAGGGGAGCTTCAGTTAGGAAAAGTCGATTTCAGGTAAAGCCCAGTGAAGAGATATTTAGACGTCAGTCCTCTTTAAACTCAACTTCATATCATGACCACTGAAAGAACAAACAAATAAGAATGACCTCATTCCTTCTTCTGTGGTCAGTTTTTACACCGGCCCAGCAGTGGTTCAGGGACACGTTCCTCTGGAAATGAACAGCCTGGTTTTGGTTCTCAACGGCCGAGAACAGCAGAAGGTGTCTTACTCCATGAGGTGGCTGGAGCATGTTCAAGCTTTGGTTCAGTCCAACACGGTATCGCATGTGGCGGTGGTGCTGCTGGGCAACGAACAATGCAACAACGACTGGATCGCCCCGCATTTGAAGAGAAACGGCGGCTTTGTAGATCTCTTGTTCCTGGTCTACGACAGCCCGTGGGTCAACGACAAGGATGTGTTCCAGTGGCCTCTGGGTGTTGCAACGTATGCCTTTTTTTATCATTCCTATAGCCGGTTGCATATGTAGACCTTTTTTAGCATACTGAGTTGCATCAATATGTCTTATCTAACAGCAAACAGTTGTGTACAACTCCTGACCTGTGATAATTTTGTCTCTTATCAGATACAGAGAGTTCCCTATGATCAGAGCCAATGCACAGCTGATAACCTCCAACCGGCCATACCTCTGTAACTTCCTGGGTACTGTTTACAAAAATTCCTCCAGGGAAGTCCTGATGAATGTGCTGAAACAGTCTGGCCTAGATAAGGAATGCCTCACAGCTGCCAGGGAAAAGTAAGTCTTTTCTTACTATTTTATTGGTTAAAAAAAACCAGAGCATTCTTATTTTCCTTACTTGTACAATATTTTTTCTTCTAGTTGTTTATATAATGGTTTAGAATAAATATAAAATCTGTTCCTGGTTGACAGAGACCAGAAGTTAAGGAGCAATGTGGAAAATATAAAGGGAAAACAACAATCTGAAAACAGCTGAAACACATTAGTTTTAATCAGAGAAAGCTAAACATGTATGGGTTTGAGTGGGAAAATGCTTATTTTAAATCAAATGAGGTTATGACTTTGACTGTTTAAAAAAAAAAAAGAAAAGAAAAACATTTGCTTTGATTACAAAAGAAAAACAAAAAACATAGTGAAGACTGCTTTCTCTTTCAGAACTTACAAGCAGTTATTTCATTCATAATCTCCTTTTCTGCCTCCCTCTTCCCTTCATAATTAATGACATGTTAGAAGATGTAATGTGTGGTTTTGCACACTTAATTTTAAATTTTAATTATTGTTGAACCTTGTAAAGAGCAACATATTAATAAGTTAAAACTCCAATATTAGTGTCTGGACTTTAGTCTTTGCTTCTCCAAATTGATCTTTTCCTATCTCAACATTTAGAAATGACATATCATTTCACAAGATTAAACATTAGCCTAAATGCTTGAATAAATTCCAATCGGAATACTATTTTTTAAAAATGTTTAACCTTAAATGATTTTGTTTGTTGAATCCAACAACCAAGAATATCAGAAACCTTTGGAATGAGGTGTGAAATGCTTACAAGACCTGATGAAAAACATAATACCATGTGATGAATACAAATTTCAGTTACATTTTATTTAATTATAATATAATAATATTTATTCAGTGGTTTATTTATGTATGTGTTGGGCTATGGTTGCATATTGAAGTTATATCCAGTTATAATGTCCATTTCTTCAGGTGCTACATTTCCGTGACAAAAACAAGTTCTAGCCATCTGTGTCTGCAGTTAATTTATGATTTAAAGACTTTTAAATCAACACATTTAAAATAACAGGATCGTCATGTATGTTTTCATTTGCAAGATCAGATTAGTCTGACTTTTCAAAGCAGTGTATCAGGTGGTGTATTTGTATTTTTGTAATAAAATCTCCAGGTCTGATTAAGATAAACTTCATTCTTGCACTAGATGGCTTCCACAGGAAACGGCTGACAGTCTGAGACGCTATCAGACGGCTTTGGCCCAGAGCGAGCTCACCCTAAGCCCGGTGGGAATCAACACAGAGTGCTACCGCATCTATGAGGCATGCTCGTACGGCTCGGTGCCCGTCGTGGAAGATGTCCTCACTCCTGGGAACTGTGCAGCAGGTTCTGGCTCCCCACTACGGCTCCTGAAAGCTGCAGGGGCGCCCTTCATCTTCATCAGCGACTGGAGGGAACTGCCGGCCATCTTGGAGAGAGAGAGGGGAATGAGCCATGAGCAAAGGGTGGACCGGAGGAGGAGGCTGCTCGACTGGTACTCTGGCTTTCGTCAGCAGATGAAGGAGAGGTTCACTGAGATCATAGAAGAGAATTTTTTCAAAACCGTCTGACTGGTGCTTTTAAATCTCAACATGGTTAACATTAATTGCTTTCAATATCATTTATTTTGTTTGTGGCAAAACGTGATGTACTTCTGACATAGTGAACGGGGTTATGTGCAGTGATGTACTCCGAGGTTGGTCTAAAAAAACGTTTTGTGGTCAAATTATAAAGGTTGCCATTATTACTATGTAATTTATATAGTTGCAATGTTTACAGCTGTGGGATGTGCAGGCATTTAGAAATCACTAATTGTAAGCTGCCTTTGCATTTCATTGTCCATATGTTTTGTTTGAATTTAAGTTTTGTGGTTTTTATGCACTGGAAATTGTTTTATGTTTTCAAAAGAAATAGTGTTGAAAAACGTGCTTTTAAGTTTTAAATGTAAAAAAAAACACTTTAAATACAGTCCCTTTTTTATTATGAGAACCTATAAAGGAATGTTGATGTATGATATCTACTTTTATGATTGAAAGTGACGTTTTCATTTGTTTACATTTCTATTCTATTTATTTTGAGTTCTGTTGTGCATGAGCTTTTTAAAAATAGTGCAGTCAAATAAAGTGGAGTCTTATCTAAAGGAATGTTGATTGATTTAGTTAAGGGCTTTACTTAAAATGGTTCTACATTAGTACACTGCTCAAAAAAAATATAAAATAAAATAAAGGGAAAATTCAAATAACCTATATCTGAATGTATGACATATTCTTTTTGAATATGAGAATAAACTTTACAAAGTTAAATTTGCTGACAGCAAAATCACAAAAAAAGTCAATTGAAATCAAATTTATTAACCGGTGGAGCTGTGGCAGAGCAAGGCTTTTAAAACAGGGGTTGGCAAGGTAATATTTAAAGTGTTCATTTAGACTACAAAACAATTATCTTCTGCAAAATGTATATTGATTGAATTAAAGTTGTTTATTTTCCAAAATGTATACAATTATGTACTGTACAATGTATTATAGATTAAATATACAGCAAAAATAGAAATAAACAGGTACTCAATGGACCTGTCCAAACCAGGCAGGACAAGCAGTTGTGCACATTTAAATGTGTACCCCAAAAAGAATAATAGTACAACAAAACAAAAAAATCATACAGCCCTTTTAAAACTGACTATAGTTGACCACTGCTCAGTGATATGACACCACGTTCACAAAAAGCAATCAGAACAACAACATTCAGCGGTTTAGTTGAGATAGAGCAAAATGTTTTACAAAGTGTTTCATGTTTAGGAAATATGTCCTCCTTGATTTGTCAATAAGTACGCCCAGGTGACTTAATCTATTATCTGCCATTGTTTTCCTAAGGTGGGTTTTTATGTAAGGTTCCAAAAACACAATAAACTCAAATAGAGAAGCTGGTCTCCCTCCACTTTTGGCGCATCTTAAAAGAAGCCTTCTCGTTTGATAAAGCTCGTGCTTAAGGTCTTCTATTTAAAAGCGTAGCAGAAGCTTACTGCTTTAGGATGCATTCAAGTCCCCAGGTAAATTTGACTTTTTTTTCCCTGCAAATGTTTGTAAAATTCAAACAGTGTTAATGTTTTCAGCGGGGTTGCAACAGAAGTGGCAAGGATTTCTTCTGGGGTGGCAATAGCCACTCCAACTAACCCTCTAGCTCCACCACTGCAATGAAGGCCTGGATATGGAGTGACATACAAAATTGAAGTGGGAAAAAAAACTACAGGCTGATCCAACTTTGATGTAAGGCAGGTCAAAATAAGGCTCACTATTGTGTGTGGCCTCCAAGTGCCTGTATGACCTCCCTACAATACCTGGGCATGACCCTGAAGAGGTAGTGGATGTCTCCTGAGGGATCTCCTCTCGGACATCGGTAGATGGATCAAGACATGATGTCCCAGATATGCTCAATCGGATTCAGATCTGGGGAACGGGTGGTTCCAGTCTATAGCTTCAATGCCTCCATCTTGCAAAAACTGCTGAGACACTCAAGCCATCTGAAGTCTAGCACTGTCCTGCATTAGGGGACCCCGGGGCCAACCACAACAGCATATGATTTCAGGCACCAGATCGCTCTCCCTGATGTCTGCAGATTCTGTCAAATGTGTTCATTGTCAGCCTGCTTTCGCCTGTGAAGACCACAGGACCCCAGTAGCAAATTTGCCAATCCTTCTCTGACAAATGCCAATGTTGGACTGTGAGCTAAACCCCCATCTGTGGATGTCAGGCCCTCATACCCTCCTCATGGAGTCAGTTTCTAACCGTTTGTGCAGACCACATGCACATTTGTGGCCTGCTGGAGGTCATTTTGCTGGGTTCCTTTCACAAAGTAGGAGGTAGGGGTCCTGCTGCTTGGTTGTCGCCCTTCTACGGCCTCCTCCACATCTCTTGGTGTACTGGCTTGTCACCTGGTAGTGCCTCCAGCCTCTTGACTCTACGTTCACAGTACCAGCAAACCTTCTTGCCGAAGCTTGCATTAATGTGCCATCCTGGATGAGCTACCTGAGCCACTTGTGTGGGTTTCTCATTCCACCACGAATATGAAAGCACTACCAACCAGACATGGGCAATGTGGAGTCAACAAGTCATCTCCATGTCATGTATTTGTTCTACCCAGCCACTGAAGCAGGTGAGTCCAATCTTCACCGTGAATTAACCTGTGCAGATTGGACTCACCTGGTTAATTGGCAGGGTAGATTAAATACATGACATGGAGATGACGTGTTGACTCCACATTCCCCATGTCTTCCACCAACATTCAAAAGCAACCAAAACATCAGCCAGAAAGCATAGATACTGAGACGTGGTGTCTGGTTCCCACCTGCAGAACCACTCCTTTATTTAGTGTGTCTTGCTAATTGCCAAGAATTTGCACAACAGCATGAGAGATTGATTGACTTATTTTGTGTGTTATTTACGTGTTCCCTTTTTTCTTTTTTTGCGCAATGTATATTCGAATGCATGTATACAATACTTACTCAGTCTCATTAGCATTAGTTCAGGGGAATAAAATGTAGTGTTGTTATGTAAATTCCATCTCCCTGGGAAAAGTCTAACCAAAACTATTTCTTTCTTCATGTGGAACAGAAGCATGATCTATCAGGACTTTGCATTGCTCTTAATGTTAATGTGGGGCTTGGATTTTGCCGCAGAAACCCATTTCATACATCTCACCATGCCTTCTTCTTTCGTTATTCTAACGGCTGCATAATGTTTGGAGGTGCATAACCATTCACTCTTCAGAAAAGTTGGAAGTAAAGTTACTCTTCACCCCATCACCCACACCCACATTGAAATGGTTTACAAAATGTTCTGCCTGAAAGGTGGCAGTAGATGGCGCTCTGGCTTAGCTCAACGTCTGCAGGCGCAGCAGTGTTTATGTTGAGAAAAACTTTTGGGAAAAAAAAAATCACGACAAACGAGGATTTGAAAAAAAAATAAACTATATCATTTGTGGCAGGTGCGTAAAATGTTACCACGCGATTTTCTTTTAAATGTTTATTTCTCTGTCAATTATGCAGGCTTATGCTCAATCTCACGACTTTAATAATATGAGCTTATATCAAAGAACATGTGCTTTAATTTAAAAATGATAAAACCGTGTAAGATGACATTATTAATGAAGATATAATTTAAATTAATGAAATGTAGAAATAAAAATAAAAAATCTGTTTATCTAATTTTAATCAAAGAAATAATCTAGAAATGGGTGTCATTTGGGAGCAGGGTCAGTCCAAATGGTGTCTGAGTGAAGGAGCAGATCCCACCCAGTCCCCTCCTCTCTTTTCCTGCCTGCCTGCCTTCAGCTGCTGCAGCTCGGTCTCTCTCCTCTGCTTCCCTTCGGAGCTGCCTGGGAGCTGGAAGTATAGGTGGAAGGGGGGAGGGATGGACAAACCGTCGGGAAAGTAAGCAATCCGCTGGGGTGGGGTAATGCATGCGTGTCCCAGACTGGAAACCATTTGCGCAAAAAGCTCGCGCGCTTCTCACCAAAGTTGAGTCACGACGCATTCATCTGATCGGGATTGTTGGAACTACTTCTCTAACGAAAACCCTCCCCTTAAACTTGCTGGATTGTTTTCTGCTTTTTCCCCCCTGTATTTTTCCTGCAGCGCTGCCGTGCTTCGGAGTTTCATTGGTTGGGAGCAGGGGTTGCGCATTGGCCCTTGTCTGTATCTCAGGGAAGAGGAACGTTGCAGTAGATACGGTTGCTGGTTTAATGCTCCAAAACCTCATTTGCAGGAGTTCAATCTCTCCTCGGTCATATTCTGGAGCTCTGCTTTTCATTCCTCACATGCAGGATGCGCCCCGTGCTGTAGGTTATCCCTTGTTGTTGATAAACAGTTTCCACAAGAACTTTCCGACGATCTTTGTGCACTAGAAGAGGGAAAATGTCCACGCCGAGGTTCAAAAAGGATAAAGAAATCATCACGGAGTACGAGAGCCAAGTCAAAGGTAAGGAAGTGGAAGCAACAGCAGGGAACAGGCTGCTTGATCTGTACCTGGATGAGTCATAGTCAGTGATGGTGGAATACAATTGGATATGTTCCTTTATTTTCTCATGTCAAACTTATTACAAATGAAAAAAGATCAGTTCCAGGATGTTTTGATTAAATGTCTCCTGTGGTTTTGCTCATAGGTTCTTTTTTTATTTCCTAAGAGATAACATGATCTTGCTTGCAAAGAGAAAAAAATAATCATTTGCACCATCTCTATTTCCTTCATTATGCTGAAGTAACAACCTGTTACTTTCTGTTGAATGTGAGAGTGCCTTTATATCATTGATCTGAGCATCACAGCAGGATTACGCAACTGAAGGGGGTGGGTTGAGTTCTGGCAGCAGAACCTCTTGTTGCTCAGGGATAATTAAGACTGAATCTCATTTCCTAAGGTTATCCCAGACCACTACTACATCCTCAGCCTGTTAGTATTTAGAATTGATTAACACCTAACAAAAAAAATTAGGCTGATGCACCGTACTGATAACATAGTTATACTTAAACAGGTGCATCTAAATGTCAATAAAGATGATTATTTTCAGTTGATTGGCAGCAGGAATATAATGTTTCTCAGAAAAATGTAATGATACATAAGCTGTTCCATTACATAGGACATTTTAGATATGTTAGATAACATGCAAAACCTATTGTCATTCATGTGCAATGTTCTACTCTCTCAATGTGCAAAAACGCATGCCAACTACTGTGTAGCCTGTGTAATTTTTTACTTATTTTAAAGCTCATTACATCTCTGCAGAACAAGTGCAATAATCCAAGTCAACTACTTTGTAGTGTTCCCTTAGCTCTCTGCAGATTTTCTTATATCTATGGGAACATATTCTATGACGTTACAGTTTTTTTCTTTTTATACTTTTTTGTAATATACAAACTCCATATTTTCGGTTGTATTTTTTTTAAATCTTTAATGGCATTTTGTTTTAAGTCTTTGTACCCTATACAAGCTGCTTGAACCAGAATTTCCCTGAAGCAGTAATCTCAAGGGATAAATAAAGTTGACTCTAAGTTAGGCTACAGTTAATGCACTCAAATTTTGGTTGGGACTCCCTTTGCAATAATTATTGTACCAGTGAGGTATGACATAGTGTATGTGGCATGTTTATAAAAAATAAATCAAACTGATTGGATACCCTGAGACAGACAGGGACCTGTCCAGAATTTATGCAGCCTTTCTCCTAATGACTGCTGGAGATATATACTAGTAGCAGGAGTGTGATGGATGGATACATCAGATTACATCAGGGGGTTTTGCTGGTCTCCTGAGTAAAGTGAAACTATGATTATCAAATCTGGTTGTGGTACTGCTGTAAAAAGAGGTCAGCATTTATATAAAGGTGCTGTTAAATGTCCCGGCTGTTTTTGCATCAATAAGACTGTGAGCTAATACCAATCCCTGAAGTGCTAAGCAAAGAAGTTTTTTTTCTCTCCTTGACCCAGGTATGATGTGCATATATGTTTGTATTTTGTCTGTAATGTAGGAGTTGGTTAAAACAAAGAATTGTAAAGTTGTACCCCATGCTTCACCTTTTGAGTTTCTGAATGCAGTATGCCTTTTAAATCTCCACCAACATCGTACAATGGTCTCTACTTGACAATTCTATGTACTAAAGCTAACCCTCTACTTGTTTCTTTGTACACATTTTTCCCAATCAATTTTTCCTTCCACTTAAC